TACAAGTGAAAAAGGCAAACACTGTTTGTATTCATCAGCGGCAGGTACTTATGTAGGTACAAACAGCTGTAAAAAGCTAAACAAAACTGTGTTAATAGTTGCAACTAACTATAAATTGCTATACAAACATTATAAACAACTAAAGCTGGCAATGAACAGTACAACAGGTACTGTACAAAAGCATCATTACATCTATATTTACCCATCAATACAAACAATCAATTGTAAAAAAAAAAAAATCAATCCTAAATTTTTACAAAAATCTAGCCAACGAAAACTACTGGCTTCAAACAGTAAAAGATTAACGGCAACTGCAAAAGAAAAACAAGATGGCTATTAATACTAAAAATAACTTGCCTCAAATGGTAAAAAAACCCAGTTACAATTGTACTACAAACTGCTAGCTAGATACAACACAACAACAGCCAACACCAGTTAGTAGCTACGTGACTGTACAACACTACAAACACATAGCTACTAACGTCAGAACTGTCTGTAAAAATTAAGTGTTACTGAATCTGCAACAAACAGCCACTAAAGTTCATAAAGTAGAACTAGCTAGCTGCTACAAACTGCACTCATAAATACCTGGCTACGTTACATGTGCTAGCTACAAATGGTACAAACAGCTAGCTAACATTACAGCTAAAATAACAAACAAATAACTGTAAAAAAGTGTAACGACAACAAACCTCTTACAAATCGTACAGACAGGAAACTACAAACAATACAAAGTGCTAGCTAAAAATGTCACATACAAGTACAAAACACTACAAACACTGAACTACTAATGTTGCATTCATGTAAAACAGTCATTTGTGTTGACACATAATTCCAGCTGTACAGCTGTTATGAAATGAACCAAATGGATTGTATCAGTGGTAATGTTGGATTTTAATTTGTTGGTGCATTTGCAGCTGTTGCGCCAACAGTCTGTTCACCTGTCCTTTTCACCAGGTGGGAGTTATCATCTCTGTGTAAAGATTCACTATATTTTGGACTCTTGCCAGTCAGAAGCTGATGTGAATGTTTTTATCACTCAGTTGCTTGTATAGTTTAAATAATGTAATGTGAACTAAGCATAACAAAGGCTAGGTAGCTTACAGCTAGCTAAAAAAAACAGTAGGGTACACAGGAGGACACTGTCGACGAAGTCTTCGTAAACCGCGAAGACTGAAATTAAATTAAATGGCCTGGTCCACTGAGGATTTTCTGTTGCCTAGCAACCTTGAAAACTTTTTTTAAACAAAGAATGAGGTTTTAAAGCCCTTGGTTTTAACAGTTGTACCATTAGCTGCAACCCAATACTGAAGCTCTTCCTGGGAGCAAACAGCTGTTAATGCTAACGATGGCTATGTAGCATTAGCTAAACTCACAAATAGCCTCTTTTAAAACGGCTTCAAACAGCAGATTTCACAGTAAATTTAAGGGCTGCAACTACAGATAATTTTTCACTACCAATTAATCTGCTGATTATTTTCTCAATTATTAATTTTATCTTATAATATTACAAAATAATGTTTTTTCAAAAAACAGAGACTCAGTTCACTGTGATACAAGAAAGAAGCATCAAATCTTGTAATTTCAAAGCTGGAATCAGGACATGTGTAAAAGGGGGTCAGCTCTATATTCCCACATTTCTAAGAATGTTTTGAAAATTAGGCCCTATTTTCCCACAGTCTTATATGTTCCCATAAGCCCATGTCCACACTAACCCGGGTAATATTTATCCGGTTAGCCCTTCCGTCCACATTAGAACGGTGAATTCCGAAACTGAAAACGACGCTTTACAAAAACGATCGCTGAGGTGGATAAATGTGAAGACGCCGTGGAACGTGGATGCAAAGCGTTCTGAAAGGGTATAAAAGGGGAATATAGGGCTGTGGGAACATAGACACGCTGCCGTATAAAAGCATTATTTGATTCTGTGGATAGACAAAATGACTAATTGTCTTACTGTTGCAGCTGAATTTGGTCCGCTATACTGCGCTGAATACAGGAACTGAAAATAATGGAACTAGTCTTTAGTTTCAATGATCTTTGACGCACATGGATTATATATGCAACAACCTGCTGAGCTGATGAGCTGAGCATAACGACTTCATTTGTGTTTTTATTATTAAATGTCTTCACCCTCCTGCAGTTTCACCTGAAACACAAACAGAAGTAATTTCTCTCTCTCGGTAGCAGTGGTGTGTGCAAGCTCCTGCAGAGATGATTTACTGTCTGTTTGTGTTTCCGTACAAAGTGTTTGTCCCGAGGGGAAACGTATCTGATCCGTGCAGCCTGCTGCTGCTACAGGAAAACACACCGCTACACACAAAATGTAAATAGCAGTTATTTAGCTTTTAAAAGGCAATGTGGGTTTGAGAGCGCTGCAGTAACTCGGCCTGGCCTCAGATATTCATCCAGTAAAAGCAGATGGAGCTGCTGTGGACCAACACTCTGATTTCCCTCTCTTTGTTTCCATTTTTCTGCTTTTATGTTTTATCAGCGCTTCATCACGCAGACTTGTCTGAGTGGAAAATCAGCAGCTGAATGTCGACATCAGATTGTGTGGTTGGGTGGGCAGAATAATAAGGCAGCCACTATCTGGAGCTGGAGGAGCATCGGTGTGTGCAGCGCAGTAATTTCCACTCGTCCTACTCGGTTTTCAAAATCCTGTTTTTGTCCCACCAGATTTACAGTTTGACAGTTTGACACTAGAATCTTTGGTTTGTAGCATTAATAATTGAGATTTAACACTAATTCACATTTAAATATCGATCAGTCAAACAGGTGTAAAAGATGATGGGCAGCAACAGCTACTTGGGACAAATGCAATAAAAGAAAATGGCAGTTTTACAGTTTGACATTTTCCACTCGGTTTAATTCAGGTGAGAATCTGACGGAGCACATACCTGCTCTCAGGGCAGTGTGGACTGTACCCAGAAGGCAAAATAAATCCTGCCTGTTCTTTATATTTTGAGCCACATGCTTGTGTTTCTTCTGGCTCAGTGTACGCCCAGTTCCACAGCCCAAGTCTGGCCCATATCACTTCCATATCTGGACCAATTCTGGCGCTCACAGCTTCGCCAATACAGGAGGAAAACAGACTATAACCGAGGCATATGTTGGGCCAGTAGTTTGATTTTGCTCTCTGAGTATCTGCAGAGTCCGATGTTTCCGCCTCGTCTACAGACTCTGCTGCTTCCATGTTTGTAACCCTCTCAGAAAGATTCCTGAGATCCTGAAAACATGAGAGGTTTATAAAATACAGTGACTTTATATGAACCAAACTTTCCATTAGCAAGATCCACTAATCCTTTAGAGGGTGTGACGTTGGACTGATGTTGGACAAGAGGCGGGGCTAACCCGAACATGAGCTGTGTCACAATCAGGGGCCACATCTTCGGAGGACGTGGTCCACGAAGGACGTGGCTCTTCAGTCGTCATAGACCGTCGTGAAGCCCAAACCAGAATGAGAAGGACTGGTCTACGGAAGATTTTCGCTTTCCGCCATCAGCTGTTCCCGCCCTTACGGTTGCATCACAAAGTGCGGCTCCCATCTCCTAGCAACCTTGACAACACACAACTTTTTTTTCTTAGCAAAATCGGTTGTTCCGAGCTGAAACACAATACTTACGTGTGATCCTCAGACTCTCTGTCTGTGTGGTTTGCTTTCATTGCCTGCGTGCAATGAATCTTGGGATATGTTTGTGTCATGAAGGATCCACCTGTTGGAGCCTTTGAAATGTGACAGCGTAGTCGCTCATCACCTAGAGTCACCAGTTAACCTGCATGTCTTTGTTTTGGGGTCATTCCCAATGTTCCTTGAGCTTGTAACCGCCAACAATAAAAGCAGCTTTGTGTGGGTTTGAACCCCAAACACATAATTTCAGACCTGAGCAGCTTTTCTCCTCTAAACGTTTCACATGGTTTCATTTCAATAACTGTTCAGATGATCAATAATTCACAAAAAATGAAAGATCAGAGAAAAGTCCAGAAACTTAAAAGTCAGTCAGTGAATCACAACTTTGTTTTTTCTTCTTTCCTCTCCTATGAATCATCTGACGACCCCTGAGGTTCATCTGGTGACCCTTTGGAGGGGCCCGACCCCTAGGTTGGGAACCACTGGACTGAACTATCTTAGTGTTTATGACGTACTTAAGAGCAGCTCCACCTGGAGGAGCTACGAAGCACTTTTACTTTTCATACCTTACATTTTGTTGATAATACGTCTGTACTTTAACTTAAATGCAGTATTTTTACTTTGCTTTGAGTACTTTTACCTCAGGAAACCGAATACTTGTTTGAAACATATTTTCTAACGTGAGATTGTTCTGCTGGGGGAGGGGATTTTAACTTTCCTTGTTTGTTCTGAAAACATGCATAAAAACAGGATGTTCAGATTATTGCAGCGTTTCCATCTGCACATTCTGCTGCTCTCCTGCCTGAAGAATGCACAGAAAGAAAACCCTGTGTGTGTGTGTGTGTGTGTGTGTGTGTGTGTGTGTGTGTGTGTGTGTGTGTGTGTGAGTACATGTTGAAGCATTAAATTGACCACCTGTTGCTATCCTTTCTCAAACACACACAGACACACACTCCCCTCAGTCTTTACTTTCTCAACCAAACACTCTGAAAGAAAAGATCAGTGTGTGTGTGTGTGTGTGTGTGTGTGTGTGTGTGTGTGTGTGCGCTCTGGTATGTGAGTATGGAAGATACTCAGTTACACACACTCGCACACACTCAGTAATCCAGGCATGTCAGTTCCTGTCTTTGCGGAGGTTGTGTTCGTCACTGTAATCTCTGGAAAAATGATCCTGCCCGTTGTTTCCCGCCGCCGCCGCCTGCCAGTCGAGTGTGTGGGCAGAGCGACCTCAGGGTCCGTCGCTACAGCAACAGGCTGCACAGACTGAAGCTGGGAGCAGGAAGAAGAGACAAACACGGAGGAAAACAGTCAACATGAAGAGGTCTGACAGCAGAGAGCAGGAGGAGATCTGAAAACCTGCAGACGGAAAACGAGGGAGTCGAAACCTCCGACAGGAAGCAGCAGGTAAGAACAGGAAGCTGGAAACGTGACAGATCACATGATTTAAAGTCCTTGGCTGCAGGTCCAGGTGCCGAGACTGTTGTGGGTTACATTTAAAGGAACAGGCTGGGATTTGGTCAGTCCTCCGGTTCTGTGATCCAGCTCAGACAGAGGTCCAGGATGTTAGCGTAGCTTAGCACAACGACTGGAGGCAAGGGGAAACTGTTAGCTTAGCTCAAACGAAGGAGAAAACATCCACCTGTCTGAGCAGCTATCCACTGGCTAACAGGCTAACAAGCTAAAAAAACACTGAGTCTCCTGGTACCAGCTGAGTCGATTGGAGAATCCAGGTTCATGCTACGTTCATGCTAATACGTTTTCAATTGAAAGGGACAGTTCTGGTTATTAGACGTGGCGTTGTGCGAGGTAGTGATATATAGTCAGGACATTACGGTAGGTAATGTTCAGCGTGGTCCCACTTTATAAAATCTGCTCTGAAGGAGTTTGTTTTGGGGGAAGTCAAATATTTGCTGTTGAAAAGTGAGAGTGACGTTGCCGAAGCTCCAGCTGTTTTCTGTGATGCTGAATTAAAGTCTCTGCTGAGTTGCTTCTTTTTAAATTAACACAGATTAGCAGAGTCTCTGCAGATGTTTTCTTTCTGCTGCGACTCAGCTCCGGGTGTGAAGGGGTTAAAGCGGCGCTGCGGGCGACGTGTTCTCAGAGGAAAACAGGAAGCTGCGGAAACACCTGAGTGAGTGAGTGACTGATCTGAAAATCAGAGACAGAAACACCGTCTCTCTGATGTGACAGAGGAGACTCGGTCTGTCCTCAGGTTCAACTCCAGCTGCAGTTTTATCCGTGCAGGCGTCACATTACAGACGTTTCAGTTCGAGTCTTCAGACGTCAGACGATCCAGGATCCAGGAGTGAATCTGTATTCAGCACAGGTGGTCCAGAGCTGGAGGAGAGGAAACACTCACATAGTTCATCTCAGATCACAGTATGATTCTGTTCAGACTCTCAGCTCTGGGTTCAGGTTAAAGATCCTGGTCTGGTTTAATACAGAATCAGAATCACCTCCTTCTCCACTCAGACTAGTTCCAGGTCACTTCCTGTTTATCCAGATTTTATTAATCATGAACCATTTGTCTTGAGTTACGGCTAAAAAGTGTTTCGTGAGGTCACAGTGACCTTGAACTTTGACCTTTAGCCACCAAAATCTAATCAGTTCATCCTTGAGTCCAGGTCAATGTTTCTGTTAAATGTGAAGAAGTTCCTTCAATGTGTTTCTGAGATATCGTGTCCACGAGAATGAAACGCACGGACAGACAACCGGAAAACAACATGGCTGCCGCTCTGACTGTCATGAAGGCATGAAAAGTTTATTCACATTGAACCTGAACCTCCATCTTTACTGACCTGAACCAAAGAGCCGGACCACAGACTGGACTCTGGACTGAACCCGGTCTCTGGTGTCTGATCTTTGTCCTCCAGCCGCTTCTCTCCTCTGTCACCAGGAGTTTGGAAACAGATTGTTTTCATTGGTTTAAGGAGTGAAACCTTCAGAGCTCAGTGACACACAGGTGACACACAGGTGACACAGGTGACACACAGGTGACACACAGGTGACACACAGGTGACACACAGGTGACATGAAGTGAAACCATCAGTTCGATGTTTGTCTGTTTCCTGCAGCTGAAACGTGAGTGATGAAGAGGAGGAGCAGCTGTTTGGCTCCGAATCTAATCAGCCTCTAAGGATTCACAGCTCAACAACTGGAGATCAGTGAGGGGAAGCTGGGAAATGTAGTCTCTGTAGACTGTGCTTCAGGACACTCCTCCTCCTCCTCCTCCTCCTCCCTCAGTTCCTGGAAGAGAGTGAGAGAGATGAACCTGCAGATTCATTGAAACGTGAGGATGGATCTCTGCGGGCCGACGGCCAACCAGACCACAGTCCACCTGAGAGACCAGAGGACACACACACACACACTCACACACACACACACACACACACACACACTGAGCAGCAGTTGTTCAGATGATCTGTCGTAAAGACAAACTACAGAAACTCAGAGACACATCTTTGCGTTTTAGGTCAAAAATGTAACAAACAAAAACTTCTGCAGTTTCATCTGATGACCAACAAAAAAAAGATGAAATAATTGAAATGAACAAACTGAAGCTTCAGTTTGTCTTTCATGATGATAAACTGAACATCTGACAGAACACATTCATCACTTTATTCTGGAATTTATAAACCAAATAATTGTTTCAGTTTAAATATCAAATCTTACAATCAAGAGATTTGTGTCTCTTCTCTTTAAAAATGTCACTGAAGTAAATGATGAAACTATGAAACCGTCTCCAGCTCCTGCAGGATTCCAACATCATGAGGTCATGATGCTGCGGCGCCGACGTGTCAGAAATGTCCAACATCAAAGACTCGCAGGTCGGAGTCTGAGTGAGTTATTGACACGGCGTCTGTCAGCTGATCAGGTTACACTCGTTTGATCTGTGGAGGTTCAAACAGACCGAGTCCAGCTGAGAGTTCACACAGCCACAAAGATCTGATCCGATCAAGCCAACTGATACCAGGGACTCAGATTATCAGAACCTGTTAACACCTCTGTGCTGGTTCTGAATCTGTGCTGGTTCTGAGTCTGTGCTGGTTCTGTATCTGTGCTGGTCTTGTGTCTGCGCTGGTTCTGAGTCTGTGCTGGTTCTGTGTCTGTGCTGGTTCTGAGTCTGTGCTGGTCTTGAGTCGGGTTTCCCTCTCTACAGTTAGGGTGAGTTCAGGCAGAGACTGTGTACAGCAGACAGACTGAGGTCAAAGGTCGTCTCCGTGGATACAGTGAATAAAAAGGAGAACGTTAACTGCAGATCTGTGACGTCATTCCAGGACTGAGACCAAGTGTTCACTTTTATTGTGAAGGGATCAGTGTGATGGCTGTAAACAGGAAGTTAAAAAGAAGCTGATGTAAACACAGTGACAGGATGTGAGTGACCTCTGTCTGTTAACAGCTGATCTGAGGTCCAGCTCTGATCCTGGACCAGCAGCAGCAGTTCTGATTTATCTCTCTCACACCTGGTTCAGACCTTTGATCCGGACGATGACAGCTCGAGACGCTTGGCTGAAGACGCCGCTGTCTGCGTCTCACCTTTCAGCCGGCCCCAAACCCAACTCTGAGAAACTGACTCCAGGTCAGAGTCATCGTCTCTCTCTTGTGTTTCAGGTCCTGGTCTCTGCAGCCGACATGTCTGCAGTCAGAGCTGCAGCCGTCCTGCTGCCGCTGAGCGTCTGCTTCCTCGCCGCCCTCATCGTCCCGCCCTGCACAGGTCAAGGTAGGTCACATGATCTTGTGGGTACTCTCTCTGCAGGAAACAAACCTCATGATAATACAACAGATTATATGATGATGAAATTTAGATTTTCAGAATAAATCAGAATATTTTACAGTCAGCTTCAGAATCAAAACTAAAACTGGATGTTAATAATTTAAGTTAATAAAAAATGATTAAAACTACATGATCATAAACATTCATACAAAGATCCATTCAAACGTTACAGGTCACATATGTATTAATACATGTAAACAGTTCGAATATATCAGTAAATAAACAAGTACAATCACACAAACATGGGCGAAAACACTGAAGTGTAGTCAAATATACCTCTATCATATCATGCATGCTGCATGCAGTTTAATTATTGACTTGAATTATTGATCTGATTTAAGATGGCTCCCCGTAGTTAAAACCATCCTGCTCACACACCTGGAGAGACAGAAGAAGAAGTTTCCGTCTGTTTGAAGTGACGCGACTTTTCCGTCTGAAAACTTTAGTTTATCTGAAGTTGAACGACTGCACTTCCTGTGACGTCACGTTTCGTCAGATCAGACTCAGTTAGTTAGTTGTGACTTAGTTAGTGAGTCGTAACTAGTTCAGTGACGTGGTGATCGTGTTTGTTGTAACTGTAGATGAAGATGTGAACGTTGTTTTTTCTGTCGCTGTGTTTGACTGAGAGAAGAGCCAGAGAATCACACAACAAACTTTAAGCAGCTTCTCTTCATATGACACCTCCTCCACCCCCCCCACCCCCCCACATCACAGTTTAAGTCATTACCCCCCCCCCCCCCCCACCTCCTCCTCATATTATACCCCCCCTCCCCCACAGTGAGTCAGCTGTGAGCTTCCTGTCAGGCAGCAGAGTGTGATTAATCAGAGAGGAGCTCTGGGTGTCGAGGACGGACAGGTGTCAGGACGAGGGTCGAGGATCAGCGGGACCACCGCCGAGAGACTTGGGGTGGGGGTGGGGGGGTGAGGAGTGGGAGGTTGGACTCGGTGAGCCTCTGTGATTGCAGCTAAATATTTTTCTTACTCCGCAGGCTGCTGATCTCAGAGCTCAGAGCTTCTCTGATCGTTAAAGTTTAGGAGGCATCCAGTTCAGGTGACCTCACCCCTCCTCACCCTCCCTCCCTCCCTCCCTCCCTCCCCAGAGAAGCAGAGCGGACCAGGCTTTAAACTAATCAGCTTCAACCACTAAAACCCTTCGACGTGTACACACTCTTATTTTTACTTATGGGAACGTTTATCTTTTTATTCATGTTGTCACCTCTCTGTTTGTGGTGTTGGAGGATATTTCATGTAAACATCAGACAGATAATCTGACTTGTTGTTGGTTAACTGACTCACAGAACATGAGGACGTGAAACTAGTATTATTTTATTTATAAGTTAGCACTAATTAGCATTATTCATAGCTGTGTCCTAATTCACAGCCTCCACCCTCAGATGCTGCATTTGAAGATCGATTGCGTCACAGCAGCGTGACTAGACTGTCACATTTCACTTCAGTTCAGCCTTGGACTAGCCTTTGCCCCGGACACCCAGCTATGCTAACGATGCTAACAGGAGCGTGTGTTTGTTATCAAAGCAGCATCCTGCACTGAAGTCTCAGCCCCTCCTCTTTGACCATTTTTGGATTAGCTGGGAGTTAAGGCCAGAGTTAAACGGTGGAGCAGCTCATTCTGAGCTTCAGTAACCTGTGGGTGACGTCACAGAGGCGGCGTCCATCTTTATTTCCAGTCAATGAATTTAACCAGAGTGGACGGGGTTGGACGTAACTCTGTCTTCAAACTAGCAAAACAACCGGAGAACTATTCACCAGAACCACTGCAGTCACCACCACCAGGGACTGAGTGGGAATAAACATGGACCTGGGACTTCTGACTCAGACTGACCCAACAGAACCCCTCTGGAGTCACGCCATCAGATCCTGAACCAGAACTTCCTCCATCAGATTCAGCAGCTGTTTTTAGCTTCATGTGGTTTTATAAGGATTATAGAAACGTTATAGAAACTCCTCCTCCGGCTGTGGAGGGCAGCGTGAACTCCAGACCTGTCTGAGGTCATACATGAGGTCACATATGAGGTCATATGAGGTCATACGTGTCGGTGCTGCAGGTCACACTGCGACACGTGCAGCAGGATCAAGTTCCTGCAGCGGTCTTCACACCAGCTCCAGTGTCTGTCTGTAATCACGGAAAAATCCACTGATCGACTGCTTCAACAATAACCTTTGTCACAACTACTCGACTTCATAAGTGGCTCTGATTGGACAGCTAATTGGGGGAACAGGTGCTGTTGCTGACCCAGCCAATCAGGGAGCAGCAGAGCAGCGAGGGAGGTGACTTCAATCAGTGGAGCATTCATCATGTTTAAAGCAGCAGGAAGAGCTAAAATTATCCTCAGAAACACTAAACCACACACACACACACACACACACACACACACACACACACACACACACACACACACACACACACACACACCTGCTGCCTCTGAGTTTCTTCAGTCTCAGTCTCAGTGTCACTGATTACCTGCACAGGTTCCACACGTCCTGGACAACCTGGAAATCAACGTTGTGATAAAAAAAAAACTAAACGGTATAAAATTGATTTTAATTTGAGATCTAAATGCATCTAGATGCTGCTCTACGTGGCCAAAAGTTTGTGGACAGCCATGTTAAACCATGTTTGAGATTCAGGTGACCAGATTTCTGAAGACATTTTCAGTTTGATGGTCAGTATAACATTAAAATATCCAATGTTTTTACTTATGAAATAAAACAGAGGGACAGTCCCCGTGTCATGTGTTTCCACTATGGTAACAACGATGCCCTACCTTTGAAGCAGTCATGATGTCTCATTGTCTGTCTATTCCTTGGTTACATTATTATAGACCATTGCACAACGTCAGACAACTTCTTCTTCTTCACTTTTTTCAACATAAACACTATTTTTTCGAGGCCCAGCTGGGAGGCTGTGGGTATGTTTGTTTTCGTTAGTTTAGCTGGTTAAGAATTCTTTACCAATGAGTGAGCCAGCTAACCTTTTCTCTGCCTAGACACAGCAAAAAAAGAAAAATCTGATTGGATAACTCTGTTTTGATGGTTTTAGCTTAATTTCTGAAGTTGCTATAGCGAGCAGCTAGCCCTCTGTTGGTTAAAAACAGCAATAGACGTGTTTTTAATTCAGTTAAAAACGGGGACGTCTGGTCACTCTAGAGTAGATTAACATCTGTATACATCTGGAGAACATGTTTCTGCTGTTTCAGTGTTAAAGTCCAAGGTCGTCAATGTGAATTAAATTCATTGAAATTATGTTGAAAATATAAATATTTATTTATACATTTATGTGTTAAAAGCATTACTTTTTCCTCCTAAATTCAATCCTGTTCATTAAAATGGCCATTTATTAAATATAATAAATACATTAATAAAATCACCTAACTCCATGGATCTGAATCTTTCTGAGCGCTCCACGCTCAGTTTCTCCCTCTGGAGTTTTCCCTCCTCCATCTTCTCCTCCTGTCAGTCACCGTCGTCTCTGAGGTCGTCACTCTTTAATAAAACGAAGCTGAGGAAGTTTGTCATCAGACAGCAGCTCCTCTCTCCTCGTTTTTTTCTCCCTGTGAAGCTGCAGCAGTGAAACGTGACTGAGGATGAAGAGCTGTCACATCACTCATCTTCATCGCGTCACACACACACCTGCTCCACACACACTCGTTTCAGACGCTCCAACGTCCCGCAGGTTGAATTTAACCAGAACAAACTGAAACAAAAGGAGAGAAGTCAACTACGACTCCCATGGTGCTTTTCAGCAAGAAACATCCAATCACAGAGCTTCACTGTTTCTACAGTAAAATCTGTTTAAATCAGTTCACAGCACCTGTCACCTGTGGAACAGCTATTAGGGGAAGTCCTCTTCCTCCTCACCCTCATCTTCCTCACCTCCCTCACCCTCCTCTCCCTCCTCATTACTAACAGTGTTTGATCTTCGTCACCTCCTCGTCAGAGACTGTCTAACAGTCTTATTTAGGGGGCGGGGCCCCGGGGCCCTTCAGGACAAAAATAACACCGACTCTTTTGTTCACTTCAAGTGTCTCTGAACGCATCAACAGTCCTGATGATGTGACTTGGCGGTAAATCATGGTTGTGTCATGGCTGCATGCACGGATGGGCGTGGATCCTTGCTGAGTGCGCTCAGAGGAGCTCGGCGGCTTATTGTTCTCCGTTAATCCGGGCTCTCCCAGCTGTCAGATTAACCCTGCGCTCTCTGTTGTCTGCCTCCTCTCAAATAACACTTAGCACCTCCCAGCTGTTGTTGGAGTCATGCGAGACTCGGCCGGTGTCCTCCGCCCCGGCAGCTCCAGCACGGGGCCGCGAGCGCCACACCAGGTCCTGGAGCTGCCGGGGCGGAGGACAAGCCTGTTGTCCCTCTGTCAGGACTCCCTTTGAAAACAATCCTCCCTCATTCCAGCCGACACTCGATCCACTTCAGCTCCACCTCACCTGCGTTCAGAGCCGCTGTTAGCTCCGAGGTCAAAGGTCACGGTCTGTGGTCTAAACATGGAGCAAGTATTCCCGCCGATGACCTGCTCCGAGTTTGATCCTCTGGAGAAAATAAAGTCAGTGAGTGTTTTCACTGCTGAGTTCATTTCTCTAAACATCACTGAGGAATTTAAATCAGCTGTGACGTTCAAGTGCTGCTGGGAAAGTTCAGCATTCAGGGACCGAGAGATGGACGCTGCTGAGATGGAGGTTTTATGTTGTCAGGGTGTCCGTCTGTCCGTCATGATATCTCAGTAACGTCTTGATGAAACTTTTTCAAATTTGGCACAAACACTCACTTGGACTCGACGATGAACTGATTAGAATTTGGTGATCAAAGGTCAAAGGTCAAGGTCACTGTGACCTCACAAAACACGTTTTTGGCCATAACTCAAGAATTCATTCACTACTTATGACACAATTTAACACAAATCTCTATATTCAGAAGGTCAAAGGTCAACTGCACTGTGACATCATAATGTTCTGGTCATTCAACCCTGTAACTGAGGAAGGAGAGAGAGGGGAGATGATTCTAGTCGTTTCACTTGAAGCAGCAGGCCGTCAGCAGCTGTCTCTCTGTCTAACAGACAGGCTGCTAAAACACTGAACGCCACGTGGCTCGGCAACTGCCAGAGGTCAGAGGTCAAACCGTCTGCTGCTAATGTCCCACCAGAGACCTGAAACACCTTTATATGTCCTGACGGCTGAGACACACACACTAAAGACACACAGGGAGGGTGGGGTGGGGGGAGGTGGGGTTGGGTGCGGGTGGGGGGGGGTCACAGGCAGCACCGCTCCCTCAGTCTCCACATCACACGCTCTTATTTTGTCAACTTCCTGTCTCTGATCTGTCCCGTTCTGATCCCTGCAGGAAGCGACTGCAGCTGCAACGTCACCAACAGCCACTGTGACGAGTCCGGAGTCTGCAGGTGAGTCACCTGTTGATCAGCGTCCCAGATGCACACAGCATCTTTCAGGTGGCATCCATTTGTATTTCATTTACTCTTACGCTTTAAATGTTGCTGCCGCTAGGGATTGTGGGACGGCATCATCTCCTTTCCTTTTGTAAAGGAAGCTCCAGTGTTTCCTACGCTGAAGGAGACAAGATAGGAAGCACTGAAGCTCCTCTCCTCAGCAGATAGAGAACTGGACCAGAAACCTCTATGATTTAGACCGTGAGCTGATGTCATCACGGGTAAATGAGCCAGCAGGTAACCTCAGTAAAAGCAGGTGAACTCTTTGTGTTCCAGGTGTGACCCCGGTTGGGACGGAGAGCGTTGCGACCGCTGCGTGCCGATGCCCGGCTGCGTCCACGGCTCCTGTCAGCAGCCGTGGCAGTGCAGCTGCGAGCCGGGCTGGGGGGGTCGCTTCTGTGACAAAGGTCAGAGACGGTTTTTAAATCTCACCTCCGAAGTTTTTACTTTTTTATATATATATATAGATTGATTGATTGATTGATTGATTGATTCCTGTGCGTGATGCTTCAGACCTGTTCGTTTGCTCGGAGCAGCAGCCGTGTCAGAACGGAGCGACCTGTGTGATGGAGGACAGCGGTGAATACACCTGTCTGTGTCCGGAGGGTTTCCATGGCAGAGACTGTCAGCTGAAGACCGGACCCTGTCACCAGAGGAGGTCAGTGCTCATGATGTCATATTTACTCATCATCATGTAAAAACAGCTGACATCACACTGAGTCGTTGATTTCAGCCATGTTGGGGGGCGTGGCTCGACGTCACGTGATGGATTGTGATGTCATGTGGTTCAGACGTTCATATTCCCCTGAGGATGAACCGTAGAAACTCTGCTGACCCGTTTCCTCTTCGCTATCATTAGACCAGAACTACAAACACTCCCATCATCGTCAGCTGCTGCCATCAGCCCTCATCACATGATCCTCCTCCTCTTCTTCATGTGTTTTCTCTGTTGTCTCCAGGTCTCCGTGTAAAAATGGCGGTCTGTGTGAAGATGCTGATGGTTTTGCAGAGGAGCTGACGTGTCGCTGTCTGGTGGGCTTCACGGGGCCGCGCTGTGAGACCGATGTCAACGACTGTTTGATGAAGCCGTGCGGTAACGGTGCCACCTGCCTGGACGGCGTCAACCGCTTCTCGTGCCTCTGCCCGGCCGGCTTCACCGGACGCTTCTGCACCGTTAATTTGGACGACTGCGCCAGCCGGCCCTGCCTAAATGCCGGCCGCTGCCTCGACCGCGCCGGAGGTTTCCACTGCGTCTGCCGGCCCGGCTACACCGGAGCCACCTGCGAGACATTGCTGAGGAACCAAGACGTCCGCGAACCCGGCTGGACGACGCATAGGTGGGAGGGGGGAGGAGGAGGCAGGGTCAGACACCACATGACCACCGCGGGCAAGAACCAGAGGACTAGCAGTAACAGTAGTCGTCATGACAACCTGCTGTTTAAGGTAACAGTGAGCGAGCGCGGTGCCTCCGGCCTGACGGAGATCCAGCTCATCGTCCTGCTGGTTCTGGCGGGACTGACGCTGACCGTGGTGGTGCTGACCGTAGCCTTCGTCCTGCAGGGTCACTGCAGGAAGTGTGGCCACGCCCCCTGCTGGCCACTGACATCATCATCATCGCCGTCATCATCGCGGCGAGGACAGAAGAGCAGGCAGCGAGCGCAGCCAGACGAGCAGGACTGTCAGATCAGCTTCCTAAACGCTGCAGAACCAGAGAAGAAGAAACTCAACACAGAGGTCATATAGAGCGAGTGGGCGTACGAGCACAGGAATGAACAGAGAGAGAGAGAGAGAGAGAGAGAGAGAGAGAGAGAGAGAGAGAGGGGGGGACATGCTCTCTCGCCCAGCTGGTTCGACCCCCCCTGTGTGAGCACAGGGTCAGAGGTCAGAGGTCAGAGCTGCCGTCATGACACTGAAACTATAACTGATGTCGACCTGACAGCTTCACCTGCCTCAGGTTCAGGTCTGAACTGGGATCTGGTCTAGGAGCTGGTCTGATTCTCCTAGCATGCACCTGCTGGTAATATGCAAATGAAGCACGACATCATAACCTTTATACTCAAACAGTCCTGAGGTCGAACAGGACTGAGGAGTGTGAGGGTCACTCAGGACTCTCCTGGACCACCTGTACGTTCATGTTCCCACTGCCACTTTCAACTACAATACCCATGAGCCTCAGCTGCTGTTGCCATGGAGAACAGGTCAATCAGAGCAAATTTAAAACTGGTTTAAGCTGCAGATTCAGTTGTTCGTCTTTAGCTTCCACCTGCTCACCTGACAGAGCTTTCAGCTCTGTGATTGGATGTTTTTTGCCCAAATACATCTTGGGAGTCGTAGTTTTTGGCTGCAGGAACCAGGAGAGTCTGAAATACATGCTCACACTTCACAGCTCCACTGACCCAAGATATGAATGTTATCACTGTGTGAGGTAACATACTGTATATTTCTTTGTCTGTGAACGACGTAAATATAAACAAGTATATATTCAGTCATGTATAACCCGTGTCACATATCAAACATCACATATTCCCTTGTTTGGTGTAATATCAGTGTTTAACACTCACTGCAGTGATCGGACTCGTCTGTGTCAAAGTCAACTGTCATCACGTTAATACTTTTCCACATGTGGGTTTAAGATAACGATAACGTAAGGAAGGGCATACTCGCAAATATTTTTTTTATCCCGTTATCTCAAGATATCATTACACATTATCGTTATCCTCAGATAACAGGAGAAAATTACTTTGTTATTCCGAGTTAATGAGATATCATCGTAAATCTTTTTCACCTGATATCGTTAACTAGGGATATCTTGAGTTAATGGGATAAGTATGGCCTTTCTCAGCTTGGAAAACACGGTTGGATTATTTTACACAGACAGCAGTGAGGTCTGTGGGATGACAGAACAAAAAGGGTTAAAAAAGATGAGGGACATCTTGCCGTTCCTGAACGTGCAGAGCAGAGCGACAGGTTCAAGCGTTTAAACCCCAGCTGACTTCAGTCTGACAGCTCTGCTCTGAGCCAACATGTGTTTGTATATTTTACAATGAGTTTTATATGGAAGTGAATATACAGTGTTTCGCTTTGAGCGTCAGTGTTTTGTTCTGTGGTGATAAAACGGAAGCGCTGCGTCTCCGCAGCTTTAAAAACCTAATTTATTGGTGTAATTTATCAGCGGTGTGTGTGAGAGTCGGATGTTTTTATAACAAAGTGTGTGCAATAAAGTTGTAAATGATGAGCTCTGAAGCCTGTCAGCTGGTGTTTCTCGTCCCCACAGCAGACAGGATGGACTGAGAGGTAACACAGTGAGCAGGTCTGAGATCAGCGATGGAAAATGTTCAGTTTTCATGTTCAGAAACACCACGGGGCTGCGTCCCCGCGGCCTCGTGGTCTATGATTCATAACATGTAATCACAACGTCCTGAGAACCTGGGTCTGCTTTCATAAAGACATACATATAATATATTAGATATAACAAATAATCAGACTTCAGATAGACTGAGTCTAAATTAATCTGTTGCACCAAACTGTTTGGTTCTTGACTATCTTAAACCGCACTGTGGCACAATGAATTCTGGGTAAATTAAGACTTTTTTCAATATAAAAAAAATGGCTGAGCGAGGAACTTAATTTACTCTCAGCAGAACGCACTTTGTTTCTGGGAAGAATTCGACAGGTAAAGAGTGAAAAGAAAAGTGTGATTTGGAAAATAAATAAAATTGCTGCTCTCTCCATAACAATGTCAGCAAACCACAAATTATGAGCCAGTTTTTTTTCGTTGGGTGCGACTGGTCAGCACAGGTGTCATTTGTTGTTGCCGTGGTAACATTGGTTTTAGGCCTGAGTTAGTCTGTAGTGTGGGTCCAGTCTAATGTTAGTCAGATTATTTCACAAAAACAAAGACCAACTCATTTTAAGATGAAAACATAAGACGCCTTATCGCCAGACTAACTCAGGTCTAAGAACAATGTTACCATGGTAACAACATAGGAGTCATCACGTTTCCTGTCTCTACTGTCAAATAAAGTCAAAAGACTGAAAAAGAATAGAAACAAACATTCAGAAAAATATTCTAAAGCACAACCAGAGCTATAAATACCTGTGGTTTTACCTGTGGGTCGTGCTGTCCTGATGTTGAGCTCCACATGTGGAAGATGAAGAGTTTAGCCTCCATGTTACTCTGCTGCTGTGAGTTTCAGTAGCAGCTTCTGCTTCTTCCAGTCTGTTTGTTGTGGACAGTTCTCTCTGTTTAATCTTTGGAGCTGTTGGTTATTGTATCACCTGAAGTCACACAGTTCATTCTGACTCGCATCACCTGCTCCATCCTCCTCCTTCACCTGGTGGCTCGTGGAGCTAACGTTGGCTAACGTCGCGTTAGCAACCCTGCTTTCCGTCATGTACTAAAACACACACTGATATTAGATGAAGTTTTGTCAGGGTAATTTTATTAAACTGTCTGAAATCTTTATCTTTAGCGTGACCCGGAAATGGTCTTTTACACCTGGCGCCTACTGCGTAGCTAGCCGTCATAGACCGCGAAAGCTGAACTGAAATGAGTCGTGTAGTCTACGGGGGATTTTCGCTGTGCGTCACCAGTTGTTCCCGCCCTTACCGTTGCGTCGCTAGGCGCGACTCCTGTCGCCTAGCAACCGTGATAACATGTAACTCTTTTTTTCACAAAAACTTGAGGTTTTAAGGGTTTAAGTCCCAACCCCTCGCCTCTGTCATTGGACCAACTGATCGATAACAACCAATGGAAACAAACATTTGTAATTCAACTAACTTTATTAACAAAATAACAAGGATTACTTTATCGGCTCTGTTTTTATTCTCTTAAATTCACTTTGAACTGTATTAAACATCTCAAATGAGCTGGTTTTAGTGTAATACTTTTAAAAACATTCTTAAAGTTTATTTATTTATCTTGTTTATATATTTATTCCTGTCTATAAGTTAGAAGTTAAATTTTAGACGAAGCTACACAGGCACATGGACTGAATGAAAGTAAAAGACGAATCAGTCGTTGTTTATTACGAAGCTGTAAACAGTTTTATTATTGTGACATCAGAGCAGCAGAACAAACCAACAGAGCTGAAGGTACATTCATCAGAAACACAGGCGCCACTGTCTGATGAAGCTCTGTTTATAAAGGTTTCATAAGCTGTAATTAATGGATTCATTTATGAGTATTAAATAATTTACTGATACTTTATAGCTCAGTTCTAAGACATTATTAAAAACAACTTCTGGGCTGCCAGGTTGTGGAAAATTCTCCTCCTGCAATGGATGCTTGAATGCTGATCTTCTGTAAAAGCTGCAGGACGCATGAATCAAAATAGGTCTTTACCATTCATGTGTCATATTAACTGGATTCTTCTCTCTACATTTTATTATATTATTTTGAGATCAACAGCCAGTGACACATTGTGTAAACGTTAATAAACCATAATAAGTCAGCAGTTACAAATGTAAACTTTCTGTTTGTAAATAGAGTTTGGTCCAGGCGTCCTGCAGAAGATCAGTCCACTGCAGAGGAGGATTTTCTACAACCTGGCAACCCAGAAGCTGTTCTTATTAATGTCCTATAACTGATCTATTTCGGCTCTATTTTCATTCTTTAAAAGGCTTCACAAACACACAACATACGGTATCTGTACACACACACAAGCATGGAGACATATGTGCATAGCAGATGTGGAAATAAAATAAGATTAAAATAGAAACAAGTTTAAACACAAGGAATCAGATAAAAATAAAAAAAGGTCAAAAGCCAGATAATAAAAGTGCATCTTAAAAGAAACAAATGATTAGTAAATGATTGATTAACTGCTAATGAATCCATTAATTATGTTTTATAAAGCTTTTATGAATGGAGCCTCATCAGAGAGAGGTACTGAAACACACTGTCCACCTGCTGATCAAACACCTGTCTGTAAGTCACTTGGTGTGTTAAGGTTTTGTGCCGTCACTCACTCTGTTCTAGTCTATGTACAGGTGCTACATCAAACCATGCAGAGCATGTGATTGGCTGCTAGCCATCAGGTGATCTGACAACCCAGAGAAGTGCAGTGCAGAGAAACAAACAGGAACATTCAAACCCCAAAAGAAAAAAATAAATAAAAAGAATAAAGTGAAAATTGTTTAACAGGAAGTGGGTGTGTTTGTGGGAGGGGTCACATCTCAGTCTCAGCCAATAAGCTCTCACCTAGACCTGATGTCAGCAAGACCATCTGGGGGCTGGAGTCTGTAGGGTTAAAGAACAACACATTTAGAGCTTCACACCAGATTAAAAGGACCAGACCGACAAGTCTGAATGTTATCAAGACCAAGAAACTACAAATCCTTTATACATCACATCCTGCTGATTCATTTCCAAGTCATTGATCAGTTTTCAAATTGATTTTTTTCCATCAGAGACATTTGTCTCAGTTGGTTTCTGTAACAAACCATCTGCAGTGAGATAATCCACCACACTCAATGTTTAGTCAACTACTAAAAAAGGTTTAAAGGAATAGTTCAAGAAGTCTCCACTCACAGCCAAGAAATAGTCCGGCACACAACCCCCCATAACACCACAACATGTGGTTTTTACATAGTGAGACTGTGGTCACCTGGTGAAAGACCAGATCAGAGTATCATCAGCCTACAGTGAGAGTCATACTGTATGCTGATGATACGCCGCAAAATGTTCCCAAATAATTCCTGTCGTACAATTTGCACCTGAACTGATTTAGAACACTTTCTATAGTCCATGTCATTTGAATGTCCACTGATACCACTCTCATGGTTAGCTTAGTTTAGCATAAAGACAGCCACGACATGTTTTACACCTCAGGGTTTGCACAGATTAAAAAAGTAAGATATAACATGTTAATCCAAAACCAGACTATATATTCTCCCCTCCCCCTATTTCCAGTCTTCATACTAAGCTAAGCTAACCAGCTGCTGCCTGTAGCTTCATACAGTCAGAGTGATCTCAATTCTCTACATGTTGAACTATTCCTTTAAATGAAATCAATCTAAAAACTGATTTTGAAAATGTTTAGATATGTACATGATGTTTGGTACATTGGTTAAACATGTAAAACCAGAAGCTTCAGTGTTTCCTCTGTGAATCCTCACTCAGCTTCTGAACCAGGACTATGACCAGGACCAGAACTTTCGACCTTACAGCTGAGTGGAATCACAGAGGGACCACAGAAGAAGAGAAGATCTTAAAAGGGAGTATTAACGAATATTCCTATAAATATTCATTATTAGAAATACAGAATATTCTGTTAACTGGGATTAGATAAAAACAGTTTGACCAGATCTACACGTAGTCGGTTACTATACAGAACACAAAACCTCCTACTGTCACTGGGGACACCTAACACCACAGAACCATGATAATACTGGGCTTAACTGGGACAAACCAGGCTAATACTGGTCTCAACTAGGACAGAAACAGTCCAGTACTGGGATCAACGTGGACAGAAACAGTCCAATACTGGGCTTAACTGGGACAGAACCAGTCCAATACTGGGATCAACATGGACAGAACCAGTCCAATACTGGGCTTAACTGGACTCAACTGGGACAGAACCAATTCAATACTGGTGTCAACTTGGAGAGAACCAGTTCAATACTGGGCTTAACTGGGAAAAAACCAGGCTAAGACTGGGTTCAACTGGAATAGAGCAAGGGTTAATATTTGGTCAACTGGGACAAACCAGGGTAATACTGGACTCAAACGGGACAGAACCAATCCAATACTGGTCTCAACTGGGACAGAAACAGTCCTATACTGGGCTTAACTGGGACAGAACCAGTCCAATACTGGGCTTAACTGGGACAGAACCAGGCTAAAACTGGGTTCAACTGGTATAGAGCTAGGGTTAATACTGGGATAAACCTGGACAAACCAGTCTAATACTGGGTCAATTTGGATTGAACAAGGAATACATTGGTCTGAACTGGGACAGAACCAGGCCTGGATGATAGATTTCTGGTTCTGTACTGGTTCTGTACTGGTTTTGTGCAGTCTAAACCTGTCTTGCTGTCTTTGGGGGAACAGTACGGAGGGTAAACTGGGACAGGAAGAAAGAACAATCTATTTGGGGGGACAGTCTGTAACGGGGGGGGGCGGCAGTCTGTCAGGGGGGGCAGTCTGTCAGGGAGGGGCAGTCTGTCAGGGAGGGGCAGTCTGTAGGGGAGGCAGTCTGTGGGGGGGCAGTGTGGAAAGGGAACGGGGGACAGGGGAGTGTTCAGCCCTTACTGCTGTGGGGTAGCCAGGTAGGGGGCTGGTACTTGTCTCTGATTGGTTGGTACTTGTCTCTGATTGGTTGGTACTTGTCTCTGATTGGCAGCAGGGCACCGCTGGAGGCGGGGCCTGGCTGGTGGGGCGGGGCCTCTCTGTCGTCGTCGTCCTCCCCCTCAGACAGCAGGTCACAGATCTGCTGCTGCAGCTCCGGACTGATGTCGTTCTCCGCAAGAACCAGAACCCGCAGACTGGTCGGGTAGTTCTCCACCATGTCCAAGAACACCTGAACACAAACATTCTGGTTTCAGTGAACTGAAAAGTGGGTCAGTGGGACTGTGGTCACCTGGTGAAAGACACATGTAGATCAGAGTATCGTCAGTGTACAGTGAGAGTGATACTCTACACTGATGATACTTTACAAAATGTTCCCAAATAATTCCTGTCTTACGAGTCGTACCTGAACTGGTCAGTGTCATCTGAGTGTGCGCTGACACCACCCTCATGTCTCCTATAGTAAATATGAAGCTACAGCCAAAGGTCAGCTAGCTTAGTCAGCTGTTCAGAAAGCCAACCAAGAAATACTCCGACACACGACCCCCCATCAAACCACCACTTGTTGTTTTTACACTGAGGACTAAACAAGCGAGATATAACATGTTAATCAGTGATCTTTAGAGGTGTTAGTAGGTTTTTATTCCTTTATAAAAGCTTCTTCAGTTGCCTATTGAAGCAAATCAGAACAGGTTTTTTAAATTTATAAATGTTGACAGAAAGTTGCCGGAGCTGTTTCACCACAAACCACTGTTGGCTGCAGAACGAGTCCAGGTCTGGTTCAGGTCTCTCCCTGCGCTGCCAGACTTCACTGATCGATTCACTGTAATTAGATCTGAGCTGAAAGGCTTTCACAGGAAAGTTACTATCAGCATATTATCCATTATCCACATCCCGTCTGTTCTGCTGCTGCTGAGCTGTCAGACAAAAGATCGATTGCTTCCGTGAAACGACCGGAACAAAACGCTCAGTTTGTCATCTGATCACCAGGATTTAAGGCTCAGAGCTTCAACTCATGCAGAAAAGCAGCATTTTAAAACTTTTTATATTTTGTTTTGGAAGATAAATTATAAAAGTTATTACCTGAAGCTGCGTGAAAATGTTTGTTTTTATTCATATTAATGGTACATGTGGTTTAAATCTGATAAAAGTTAATTTGTTGAGGATATGCTGTTATATACAGGACCATACAGAACCATACAGAACCATACAGAACCATACAGAACTTCCACTGAAAAACTACCATTTTAACCCTGAGAGGAGCCGACGTTCCCCTTGGACCATAAACAAGCTCTACCTGAGACCTGGTCCTCCAGTTCTGTTCTTAAGTCCAGTTTAGAGTTACTGGTTCCATACTGGTTCCGTACTGGTTTCGTACTGGTTCCGTACTGGTACTGTACTGGTTCTGTACTGGAGCAGCTCCAGTTTGAGATATTCTACTTTTCCTTCACTTCAGAGGGAAATCTTGAACTTTTCGATCCACTACATTTATCCGACCAGAGTTACAGGTTTCTTTTCCATATTCATGATTAACATTCAACAGGAGATAAATAAAACTGTCGTCAGGTAAAAATCTTGTACTTCCAGAATGTCAACTTTTATTCTGAAAAGCAGCAGCAAAGACTTTCAGAGGTTCTCAAGTTCTCGAGTGGTTGAGGATTTAATCGAACAGAGAGGAGAATCATGTGATCACAGATCTGAAATAAAGAAAATACATAAAATGGAGATACAAGGTTTTTCATGTGAATGGCTCAATAATTTAACATGACTTATCTCCAGACATGTGACTGTTTTACTGTTAATACTTGATCTTTTAAACGGGGACTTTAACTTCTGATGGAGTTTCTTTCTTTCGCTGTGGTTTTGATACTTAATTATTTTTGATTAAATATATAAAAATGTATTAAATCTGTATTAATTGATTTTCAGTCCACTTGACTTTAAAGCTGTGAACATGACGCTGATATTTTATCATCTTTTAAAGTCGTTAGCTTGTCCTCAAACAGAACCAGAGAAGAAATGTGTCATAAACCAAAAGTCGGAGCTAAAAGAGGCTGAAAATCTCCATGAAGCTTCAGAGGTCGTGAGAAATGTTGAGCGTGTGTGAGACACGCCCTCCACTGCTCGCTAATACGACACTAACACAGAATCAGAGTGAAGGCTTCGCTCTGCTAAAGAGGTCTGAGACGCTCTGATCAAAGAGCGGGAGGACGAGGAGCAGGAGGAGGAGGAGGAGGAGGAAGAGGAAGAGGGGTGAAGGTCTGCAGCTCAGCCTCAGGCAAACACATCAAAGACTGAAGAGACGACTGTGTGATTCTCTATCTGTGTGAGGACACGCTGTGTTGGTCTTTCAGCTCTCGTCCACTCACACCTCGGCCTGAAGACCAGAAACATTTCATCTGAAACTTTACTCTCTTTCTTCTCTGAACCTGAACCTGACGGCTGATTGGTCGGCTGACGTCACATCCACACAGGTGAAGACAGCAGCGATCACATGTCACCTGTTGGACGACTCGTTCGTTAATAGTTGATCTAAATCTAAAATGTTTGTCCCTACAGATTAATTATTATTTACATGTCAGTGATAAAACACTCTGAACTCAAGATCCATTCATTTAAAACCACAGTCGAAAGCTCCACACAAAAGTTTAGTAAGTGAACTTTGAGTTTAGAATATCACAGGTCACACTTCAGCAAAACCACATTAAAGATTAAATTTAATTAAATTCAGTCACATCTAATTGTTGCTGTTGTAAGATTAGTGTGATCTAAACTCCAACTCAGAATCAGAACCAACAGATCTGGTTCCAGGTCCAGGTTTTGTTTAGATGTGGAGGATCAACCAGTGAATGGATGTTCAGGTCAGTGTCTCCCCCTGCTGGACAGACACAAGAACAGCTGAACCCTGACAGAGCGAGATGTGACCGACAAACAGCAGCAGAAGAAGAAACAGGTGAGACAGAAGAAGAAGAATAGCAGCGAGCTCTGTGATTGGTCGACCTGTGCTGATTGGTTGGTCAGTCCGGTTCCCTCCAGGTCCAACACCTCCAGGGTTCTGCTGGACGCCACGGCAACCGCCAACATCCCTGCAATCTGATCACCTGGAGACAGAAGCAAAACGTTAACCAGAACTAGAACTATCAGAACCACAACTAACAGAACCAGAACATTGACCAAAACCAGAACTAACAGAACCAGAACTATCAGAACCAGATTATTAACTACCAGAACCATGTGTGCACGCACGCACGCACGCACGCACACACACACAGTGTTACCCAGGGGGTTGTAGTCCAGGTTGAGGACTCGGAGCTGGGAGCTGTGAGCCACAGCGATGGAGAGGCGAGCCCAGCCTTTGGAGCTGATTCCTGGGTTAGCACTGAGCGTCAGCTCCCTCAGACCTGCACACACACAAACACACACACACACACACACACACACACACACACACACACACACACACACACACACACACACACACACACACACACCACACACACGCAAAACCACACATGAGCTTCCTCTCTGTAAAAACTTCTGTCTCAGCTCTTAAATCAACGTGGACTGATGTCACTCTCCACCTGCTGATGAGGAAAACCATGTGATATGATCAAAAGCTCCAGAACTGCTTCTCTCTGTGGTGAGGTGTTTGTCATATGTTTACAGAGACGGGTTGGTTCAGATTCAGTTTCCCAGAAAATAAACTCACAACCTACTGTCTCCATGGAAACAGTAGAGTTGTACTGCTGTAAATTATTTAACGTTTTGCCTTAAATGAGGAACCTCAGGAGGTTCTGTACAGCTCCCTGCAGCTCCCTCAGCTGAGGAGAACCTTAAGTTTCAGACCTAAGTAGAAAACTTAAGGTGTGTTGTTCATTATTTCCACACGGAGAAACCAACCGCTGCTCTGCAACTGAAATGATTTGATTATTAACTGATTAGTGAGTGGACTGACAGAATTTAATTGGCAGCAATATTGATAACTGATTGATCATTTGAATTGGCAAAAATGTCAAAACTTCGCTAGTTCCAGCTTCTTAAATACAAAGATTTTCTAGTTTCTTACTTTTCTTTTGACAGTGAACTCAACATCTTTGTTTCCCTCTACGAGACCATGAGACGGAGGACCAGATGAACCTGATATTCTACTTCTAACAAATCATATTATGAAAACAGACACGAGGTCTGGGGCCTCTGGGGGTCTGGGGCCCCTGGAGGTCTGTCGTCAGCAGCTCTCATTACTTCTTGGTTTTAATTTAGTTTTCCAGGAGAAGTCTTTGTTTTCCTCGTTTCTCTGACTTTGATGTGTGAGTGTAAACGATGATGACGGGACGTGGAGATGAAGAGTTAATCCCTCAGTGTGTGTGTCAGCAGCGTGTGTGTCAGCAGCGTGTGTGTCAGCAGCGTGTGTGACAGCAGCGTGTGTGACAGCAGCGTGTGTGTCAGCAGCGTGTGTGTCAGCAGCGTGTGTGACAGCAGCGTGTGTGTCAGCAGCGTGTGTGACAGCAGCGTGTGTGACAGCAGCGTGTGTGACAGCAGCGTGTGTGACAGCAGCGTGTGGCCGCCTGATGAATTCAGGTTATTTGAGCCTGAAATAACAACGTCCCAGGAGACGACTCTTCCTCTGAGGTTTCTCCAGGAAGTGTCCACGTCCTGCAGAGAGCTGATTTACACCGACTTCTGAGGAAACACTGTTTCTACTTTCTATATTATCACATTCTCATTTCACCAAATCTGGTTTCTCTTATTTCACTAATTTATTAAATGAGCCAAGGAGTCCAGAGTCAGACCTGACACCGAGCCAGTTCAGGTCTGACACCAGAAACTGATTTACTTCCTGCACCTGGTCTGATGTTTCACAGTTGTAAAGTGTTAAAAACTGTATTTCTAGTCTCTGGCTGACAACAGGCCACATTTGTGTTGGTGCTGGTTGCTAGGTGTCAGGTTGTTGCAAGGTGTCAAGTTGGTGTTGTGGTTGTTGCTGGGTGTTTACTGTAGAGTGATGTGAAGTTGGAGGGTGTAGCAGGCGGTTGCTAAGCAGTTACAGACCGATACAAGGGTGTTACCTGTGCTGGATGATATAATTTATGTATTTTGGTTGTTAGAGTGTTCCAGAAGGTTGCCGTAGTGTTACCAGGTGGTTTCCATGTGGTTGCCACGACGTTCTGGGCACTTGCTAGGTGGCTTGACCACTTCAGTGTTTTAAGGATGTCTGCAGTGCTCAGTGTGGTTGCTAGGGTGTTCAGGTGGTTTCCATGCAGTTGCTAGGGAGTTGCTACCGTAGTAATGTGTGTGCTATTCTGGGGAGTTGTTAGGGTTGAGTGTCTGGGGTGTTTTCTAGGAGGTAACTATGGTGTTACCAGGTGGTTTCTATGTTGTTGATGACACATCTGGTGGATTTCTACCACCTGTATCTGACAGCGGACATCGAACGGGTGAACATTTTGTTACCTGACTTCGCTCCATCGGGCGGCAGCATCCCACAAATCAGACCCAGCGCCTCGTCTCCCAGCATGCAGTCTCCCAGATCCAGACAGACCAGCGCCGGGTGGGTCGACAGGGCTGAGTTCAGGGTCACCAGGCCAGCGTCCAATAGGGGGCTGCCATGGAGACTGGAGGGGGAGGGGACAAAGTATTACAAAGGATGAATCCTGATGGTCCAGGTGAACTCTGAACCAGGAGGAGAGGTCAGAGGTCACCTGAACCTTCAGGATTTGTCAGCACGTTATTGGTTTTCATGAGACCCTGCTGTCTGCTGGACGACTCACAACAGGGTCTGCAGGGATCGGTTGGTCTTGAGGGCGTCGGCCAGGTGTCGTGTCCGGCTGATGCTGGAGACGATGCCCAGGTTAAGGTTGAGCTGAGCGAGGGAGCGCGACTCTGCAACGCTGCGACAGATGCGTCCAAAGTCGCGGTCGGAGAGCTGGCAGCCGCGGACGGACAGCAGCCGGACGCTGTCCTCCTTCAGACTCTCACAGATGTCCTGGACCTCAGCCGGAGACAGCAGCTCCCCCGTGATCTGGATGGAGGCCGGCAGCATGTCAGACAGCACTGGGAGCTCTGGGAGCACTGGAACACCTGGAGGGATGAGAAGGGGAAACCAGCTTGTCAAACAGTCACCGGATAAGATCTAAGAGGAACCACAAAGTCTGACTCTGCAGGTGGAGAACAGGTACTGAACTGACGTCACCTGTCCAGCTGCTGTTATTGTGTGTCCACTTGTTATCAAACTGTCTCTTATTTCCACATCATTCATCAGTCCTTCTTCTTATTCTGTTTTTTTTACAGTTGGTAAACACCTTTCTGGTGCGTTACCGCCCCCTCCTGGTCTCCGAACGTCACGTTCATCTTCATTAGTTGCAAACACATTTGTTCAGTTGCAACTCCTCCGACCTGAACAACCATCAACCGTCCGATACGACCCAGAGGAGCGTCTCCTGAAACAGCGCCCCTACAGGTGGCAGGTGTACAGGACCTCAGTTGTCATGGTTACAACAACAAACACACGGCCTTTGTCACGATGGTTATTATACTAACGTTCATGGCTTGATTAGCTTTGGGAAAAGATGGTGATTTTCGTTAAAATTAATAATTTCCTCAACATTAGACGATCTTTGTTGCCCTAGTGACAACATAAACAGCTGGTTTCACACGGGAATTGAACACACTTCTCTCCTGTGTCACATCCACCACCTCCTCCCGACGTGGACGTTGTCTCTCTTTATACTACTTCACCGAGACTTTCCCTTTTGCTCCTGTCATCATCACTACGACCACCAGATGTCGCCTAGCAACAAAACCTAACTATGATGTCATAATAACCTGCTGCTTAGACGATGCGCACAGTCGTCAATATGTCGCCATAGAAACTAAACACACCATGAACATGCTATAGAACTGAGCTGCAACGATCAACTGATGGATTAATTGATAGAAAATGAATCCACAACTGAAAATCAATAACAAGCTGAACAGCTGCAACTGTTTCTGAACGTATCGATCCTCTATTGATCCTTACAGTGATCTGTCACCTGCTGCTGATACAGGATCAATCAACTCTCATCACAGATAGATAGATAGGTAGATCAATAGCTCGACTGATACCTAGATCAATAGACCTATATATGGATAGATGAATAGATCGATCAATATAGATGTGGGTAAACAAAGATAAACTAATTGATAAATAAGTTGGAGGAGATCAATAGTTAATCAGTTTTCTCTCTGTGATCAATACTTCCAGCTTCTGTTGTCATTGTTCAGAAAACTGACCAGTGGGTGATCAATAATTAATAGGTGCTGATCAGGGTGGGATCACCTGATCAGTTTCTGATGAGTAACACTGTGATCAATCTTGAAAATGTACAGGTAAAAGCATAAACCAGAGATAATCAATAATCGATTAATCAAAAGAATTGATGAGGAGGAACAGGTTTCTGATAGTCAGTCTGGAACCAAACAGCTGATCAAACTGTGTCAAGTGATCAATAATGAACTCCGGCTGTCATTAGTGCTACAGCAAGATGATCAATTAACCTGATAAATGATCGATCAGCTCACGCGGGGAGGATCGGGACTCTCACACGCTGATGTCATCATTCGCTCCGGTGCCTCTGATCCCGCCGCAGGCCACGCGCCAGTTCTGATCCACCGCGGCGGACATCAGAGCCGATCGATCCGGGTATCGATTGATCGGGTTTGATCGGCGGCAGAGGACCAAGCGGCGGAGCGGGAGGTCGGTGTCCTGCAGTCGGGCAGGGAGTTGGTCGGTCGGTGTGCGCACGGTGAGTCCCGGTGTGTTTCTGCAGGTGACCGTTACTATGAGACACAGAGAGAGGAGGGAGAGGAGAGAGGGCTCACTCTGACCGGTTTACTGGGACCAAACACAGAACAGACCACACGGTGAGAGAGAAGATTCTGACGTTGTAAAGAGCGGGAATAACAATAAAATACATGATAATATTTCACCGTATTATAAAAACGTTTATAATAACGTATTACAGTATATAATACGCCAATAATAATACATTAATTCAAAATAGTGTGCATTTTTTAATATTAGAAGGTTATATATTTAGGTTATATTAACAAGGTGATGACATAAAATACAAAATTCACAAAGGCCTATAAAGTAGGTTGTTTAACTGTTTTATTTTTCATCTTTCTATTATATCAAATATATGATAAGATTTTATTTTATTTTTTAATTGTAGTTAAAATATGTAAATTTAAGATCAAATAAACTTAATTGGTAATAATTGAATAAATGAGTAAAACAAAATCATATTTATAACATATAAATATATTTATTATATAATATGTGTTATACCTTTTTCTTTTTTTCTTTTTTTTCTTTATTTTTTACAGATTAGACCAAATAAAACGTGTGTCTGTATGAAAACATGCACTTGAAACATTAGCAAAGGTATTTTGATAATCATAAAAAGGAATTAACATGTGCCAAAAATAACTTTGTAGTGTTTGATTGAAGAAAGACTTTTCCCCATTTACCCATTTTCTATTTTATTTTATTAACTTTAACTCACATCAAAATTTCCTTTCTCTTACAAATATATTTAAAAAACAATTAACGATTTAAACTTTAAAGAAAAGCATTTGGGTTTAAAGTTCAGTTTGAAATCATTTGTTAAGATCAGGTGAGTGATTCAGACTCAGTCCTGTAATCCTGATCAGAGTGACACCTCTTGTCACTACACGATCTTTACGGTTAGGACGTCACACCCCGCTGAGCCTCGTTTTAATCCTCCTTGCTCTGTGACGTCACGCGGAGAAAAAGAATATTATGAATGGTTTTTTTTTAACTGACATTTATTATTGGTAATTGTAATTGATTACTGATCAGGAGATGCTGTTGACTGGTCAGCTCCTGAAACGCCACCTAACCCGAAACAATCACCTGTCACGACTTCCGCTCCTGATTTTCAAAATAATAGCCTTAACTGAACGATAAAGAGGAAAACGCGCCACCTGCTGTTCAAACTTTAAATCTGAATTTATTAAGATTATTAATTATTAATCAATTATTATTAATATAATAATATTACATGAAATACATGCAGACGGACACACTGACAGAACAAGTCAGGAAATATAATACATATTTTAATTTATAGATGATTTGGTCACATTTCCATTTATCATCTATAAACGTGATAAATGTTTGTAACAGACTATAATGTAGTTATAAACAGCTATAAGGAAATGTGTAAGTGTTTATTAATGCTCAGTATTTGTTCAAATGTATCATGTCAAGACAGGAGCTTTAAGTGTTACAGTTTATTTTTTAATGTATATTATACATTAATTTTAAAAATGTTTAAATTATTAAATATGTGGTCAGCCTGTGCATATTCTCATTTGTCCAGGTCATAGTATCTTAAAGGAGTTTAAATCGAAAAAGCAACTGGACTTGATTATTTGTCTGGGAAGACGTTTCACCTCTCATCCAAGAGGCTTCATCAGTTCATGTACGCATCTGACCAGGCTGGGACTGGGACTTAAATATGTGTTTTACTATTTCTTGTTTTAGTATAATTATATGATGTTATTCTTTGTAATTATATCTATATTTATGATCCTTGTTATTTAATCTGATCCATTATTAAGATCACGGATTTAGACCTCTCCTAAAAATGTACAGAAATAAATAAAATGAAATAAATAAATGAAGAATAGAATAAATAAATGTGTAAAAACAAAAAAAGCTACGATTCTTAATTTAGAAAATACGCATTCATTTCTCTTGTATTTGAAATGTTAAGCTGTTAAACTGTATTTTTTCTATCTTTATTATTTTCTGCTGCTTTGTCTTGTTATTTTGGAAATAAAGTTTTTTAATTTAAAAAAATTGCGTCTGACGTCAGTTCTGTTGCAACGTCGTGACGTACCCGGACGCGTCTGATCAGCAGCTGCAGCTAGCAGCGGCTAACCGCTAACACCTGAAGCTCGGAGCAGACAGACAGACAGACAGACAGACAGACAGGTGAGTCCTTGAACGCCTCACCTGGAGACGGTGTCTTAAAACAACGAGAAGAGAGAATTTAAATAAGCGGAGAAACAAACGAGTCCGCGAATGAAACAGGAAACAGACAGAGAGCATCTGTTAGCTGCTAGCCGTTAGCCGCTCCAGGTATTCTCCATCACCGACATCTACCTGTCCGACAGTCCGCCCGGTTTATCACACAGGCTGGACAAGTGGGTCAGACTGAGCCGGACTGGGGGGGGGTGGGTGGCGAATTGAATGGAGGATCTGAAAACAATAAACCTTAAGTCTCAGGTGTTTCCTCTGCAGACCAGAGCTGCAACTAACTATTCATTTCATGATTTATTAATCTGACAGGTATTTTCTCGATCGATTGATCAGTTATTCGGTTCACGTTCGATTCTCCAAACGTCTCTTTCGGTCCAGAATCCAAAGAGATTCAGTTTCTGAGGCAGAAACCAGAGACAGAGAAGATCAGAGACACCAGAGGGCCGGGAACAAGAACCTGTTTGGCTTTTAATTTGAAAAGAATTTCATTATCAATTTTCTGTCGATCTATTAATTGATTATTGACTAATGGCTGCAGCTGTCCTCAGATCTTTAATTACATTTACTGACACATTCTCAGCTCTGGTAACATTTAAATATTTAAATAAAATGTAATTTATTATTATTATTAATAATGATAATAATAATAAATACAATATAATAATGTTAGTGTCAATAATATTAAAGTCTCATTTGTTGAAATAAAAAAGTCAAAATTTTATATAAAATGTTTTTAATCATTCTGTCTGTTTATTTCTACTGAATATGATCAGATCATGATGAGAAATCAATACTGATTGATTTTAACTGTTCATCCCTGATCAATACTCACACTGACTGTAGTAACTGCTCTCTGCCTGTAGGGGGCAGAACAGGACGTACAGGTAGTAAAGTGTGACTATCTGTTCCCCCCCTCAGGGTCTCTGTGTGTCTGTGGATGGAAGTGTGGAGCTCTGCGATGGGACCGGAGAGAGTCTTACCGAGCTCCGAGGACGAGCTGGGAGAGGACGAGCGTCCGGCCGACGGAGCGCTGCTGCCGGTGGGGGCCGTGTGGAATGGTGGGGAGGGAGGGGGTGAGGATGAGGAGGGGGAGGAGGAAGAGGAGGAGGGGGGAGAGATGGAGCTGGATGGAGAGGAGGAGGAGAACAGTGGGGGATATTATTACCAACCTCTGAACCAGGATCCTGACGGTCTGAACGCCAGCGAGCCCCCGGAGGAGGAGGGGGAAGAGGAGGAGGAGGAGGAGGAGGAGGAGGACAGGGGGGGGCAGCAGGAGGAGGAGGAAGCGCCATCACACGCCGAGCAGCTGCAGCAGGTGCAGCAGAGGATAGAGGTAAGATCTGCCTGTCAACAGGTGACTAACAGGTCTGGACAGAGATGACGTTGAGTCTCTGACGGCTGATTTTCTTAAACACATCACTCAGGGAACAAACAGGAGACGCGATGATGTCACTGTCTCTGAGTGACTCTAAACTGCAGCTGCGTTCTGATTGGCCGCTGCAGCAGTCTCACCTGTCTCTCTCCTCCAGGTGATGGGCCTCCACCTTCCTGAAGCTCCTCCCCCTGACAGTGATGAGGAGGAGGACCCTGAGGGGGCGGCGGCCCTGAGGAGCCGCGCCTCCATCCCCATGGACGCAGGTGAGTTGTCCACGTGTCCTCCACAGGCTCCCGGCCTGTTTCTGTTTCTACAACTGATTAATTCATTAAATAATCATCGGTCACATCTTATATAATAAGTATAAATACAAAGTAACTCAAGGTTCACTTACTATCTATTTTTCAGAGCTTTCAACCACATCTCTCAGACCTTTGACTTTTTTAAAACTCTACAAAATAAAATGTAATCGACTTTTTGAAAACAGAAAACTCTTGTTCTTTTCATTTCCAAACATAAACTGTTGTTGTGAAAAAGTACTTGGTTCATCATGACATCACTTCCTGTCCTCAGACCACGTGGAGCTGGTGAAGAGGACGATGGCAGCCGTGGCGTTGCCGTCTCTCGGCGTCCCGGCGTGGGCCCAAGAGATCTCCGACGACCAGTGGAAGGACATGGTCCAGCACACGCTGCAGAGCCGGCAGAGCGCCGGCGCCCTGCGCATCAACCGCAGGAACAACATCAACGGACCCTGAATGCACCACTGCCACTTCAGGGACACTGACAGGGTCGGGAAATGACAGGAGGAAGGTGATAAGTCGTTCTGTCGGACTGAACCAGTGAATCACAAACATCAGTTTCACTTCAGTGACATTAAAACTTTAAGTCTCAATCTGAACCTGAAGAAGCTGCTGACTTTTTAATTTTAGTTTTTAATTTTTTTATTTTTACTTTTGTCTCAGATTCAAATCCTGAACCTTTAACTCAGAGTTCAGTTTCATGTCGAGATCAAACTCCAGTTTATTTTAGTCTTAACTCAGTGTCCTGGGGGAGGAGCTTATGTCTCACACTGACTCCAGTTTTTCATCAATAAATAACTGAAGGATCAATGTTTCTCCACTGGAGGAAATTAATCTGTGACAGTCAAAACCAGGAATCTGAATTCTTCAGACAAACTTTAGGATCAAATTCATTTATAGGTTCAGAATCGATTGGAAACGACCAGTCGATTCATTAATTAATCAATTGGAAGAAAATATATCAGCAACTGTTCTAATAATCAATTAATTGTTTAATTTTTTTTTAAAGCAAAAGTGACAAAATGTATTTTCAGTTTCTCTTTAGTTTTTTCTGTTGCTCAGACCAAACCAGATCAATAATCGATTAATAAAGGAAATAATTGGCAGATAAACGTTTTATGAAATAAATTAAGAACATTTTCCTGTTTCTCAGGTCAAACAGACTTTAAAAAAAAATGTTCACAGATCACAGACCTTAATGTTGAAATATAAATAATAATTGATTGAACTCGATTAAGGCTGTAACTAATGATTCTGATCATTTCCTCATTTCACTGAAGAAATCAGATTCAGTTACTGTGGATAGAAACATAGAAGAACATCAGCAGAACTACGTCTTCATCAAACTAAACTCCCTTCACTTTAATCTTCATGTTTTTGCCTTAAACAGTTAAAGTTTAGAAAATATAGAAAATGTGAATCAGCCTTAAAAACATTCTCAGAAACACGACGGAGGATTTGAGCTCAGAGCGATCGTGTGTTTGGAGGTTCAGTTAAAATGTGAGGTGAGATTGGATTAAAGCAGGAAGTCGGTTCAGTCCTGACAGACGACGCTGAGGGAATAATGTCTGAAACACACCTGTACTGAGTCAAACTTGATCAATCATCTAAATGATCGGCTGATAATCGATCAGCTCCACCTTCACATCCTTTAATGTTACTGAACTCACACTTGGCTTCTGTCCACTGGTCGTTTCCTCTGTGGTTGTTGTTTATTAAAGCGTCAGCAGGTGTGAACAGACGGAGGGCGACACCTGGTGGCTGCTTTTATTTTTTCATCCTGTTTCTTCAGATCATGAGTTTAAAAAGTTAAAGCTGCTCTGAACGTTTTTCATTACGAGAGAGAAGCAGAAGTTTTCTGGATTTTCAGATTCAGGGAACGTGACAGAAACAGATGTTGTGATCAGAGTTTTTTATTATTTTTTTTTTAAAGCTGCTGCTCACCTGTCGTCCAACAGCACAGGTGAGTTCACTTGTTGCCTCAATCGACCTCTGGGAAAATCGGGAGAAAACCAGTTAAACAAAGATAATTAACTGATGTTGAGAAAACAGTGTAAAAAATAACTTTAATTAGAGCTGCAAATGTCATTCCATTGATTTTGTAATTTTTCAAACAAAAATGACAAAAATTCAGTTTTTTCTTAAGTTGTGAAGCTTTAAACTAAAAATATCTGAGTGTCAGTTGTGATATTGTTTATATATTATTATACATTATATTATTTGTTTATAAACCAAGTTATTAATCAATTAATAGAGAAAATAATCTGCAGATGACGATGATCAGTTGCAGCTCTAATTGCAGCCACCGTCGTCGTCTTCTGTGGGTGTGAAGGAAACTTCCTGTTTGATTTTCAGTGTAAAATGTTGAAGATTATTTTTTAGGATAAAGTCACATTTTACCTTTTGAAGCCTTTTAATGATGTTCAACTTATTTTTAATTGTTTTTTTTTTTCTCAGTGTTTTGATTGTACATGAATTGATCTGATCGTGTGTGTGTGTGTGTGTGTGTGTGTGTGTGTGTGTGTGTGTGTTTAATGACTGTTGGTGTAAAACAGAAACTGATTGTCAAACATGTCCACTTTATTTCTTTTATTTTCTTCTGTACATACATGAACATCTGTACAAAATCAGACTTTCATACTATGTAATGCTTCTAACTAATTAAAGTACAACGTATGTACAGGATGACGGGAAGCAGCAAGGTTCAGTTTAAGTGTCGGGACTCGAGACGAGAGAGAGAGAGATCGCCATCACGTTATTTTATGTTTCATCTTCGCCGCTGGACCAAAAAAACTCTGCGTCCCTCTTTATTTAGTTTCTACGGAAGCCGAGAAAGATCGTACTCGCAAATATTTTTTTTATCCCGTTTTCTCGAGATAATGAAGCTTCAGTTTCAGCTCCGCCCAGATCCACAAGTTTGGGATTTGTGGAGGGGGAGGGGAGGAGTTACTGCTCCCTGTAACAAATCAGAAACTGTGTCTTTAAATGTTCATGAGGTTTGGTGGATTCTACTTTAAGGTGAGCAGCACTTCCTGTTTGTTTATGTACTGTGTGCCGTTTAAGGATTTGTCCAGCAGGGGGCAGATCAGAGCTGAGAGTAAACTAGAGTCACCTCCTCGTGGTCGTATCCCTCCGCCACTCAGACTAGTTCCAGGTTACATCCTCTTTATCCAGAGTCGTAGAAAATATGAAACGTGTGTGACATTTTGTCATAAGTCTTGAGTTACGGCTAAAAAATGTTTTGTGAGGACACCGTGACCTTTGACCTTTAAACCTTTAGCCACCAAAATCTAATCAGTTCATCCTTGGGTCCAGGTGAATGTTTGTGCCAAATGTGAAGAAGTTCCTGCAAGGTGTTTCCAAGACATCGTGTCCATGAGAATGAGACGGACAGACAGACCACCTGAAAACAAAATGGCCGCTCTGAGACTGTCGTCGGCGTGGAGGAATAACAAAAAATAGACATGGAGGCCGTGGTTTGTTTCTCTAACACAGGAAACAGCGTTAAAAGTAAATATCAGCTGAGTGTCAGCTGACGTCCTGGTGTCACCAGGTAACGACGCCTGATCTGCCCCCTGCTGGACGAAGAGTGTAAACAAACAGCTGCTGGTCGCTGCTGATCAGCTGATCATCATCACTCAGCTTCTGTTTCACTTCTGTCCGTTCTCAGGTTGTAAAACATAAAGTTAGCCTCTTCTAACTCGAGAGCTGTGGCGGCCATTTTGTCCAGCGGCGAGGGAGAGAGGGGCGGGGCTATCCCACCACCTGGAATGGTCACTGATTTTGATTGACAGCTGATCTCTTAAGGACAGTATGAAAGTATGAAAAAAATAAAACAGCTGATGAGAGTGTAACAATAAAAATAAACAATCATAGAGCAGGGGGCGTGGCCTGAGGGAGGAGGTGTGGCCATGAGTCAATATACATAAGAATATACAGTACAACAATAACTGCAGGCAGAACCGTCACCTCTCCACCACGACACATCTGAAGAACGACGCCATGTTTTTCTTCATCGACAGGATTGTTTGAGCGCACTTGGTCGCAGTGCCGCCGTGCACGAGCTGCCGTGCACGAGCTGCCGTGCACGAGCCGCCGTTCTTACTTCCTTTTTTTATTTTTACAGAACATAAAGAATATTGCTGAGGCGCCTCGAGAACAGAAACGCGGCGACAGGAAACAGGAAACAAAGCTTTAGTTGATACAAAGCGGAACAGAAGATGAAAGTCGAGGCCGTTTGGGCCTCTGATTTATTGAATTTATATAATTAATAATTGATTAACCAGCTCATTGCCACGTGAACTGGTGATCTGTTCATGTCACAGAAATGTGTTCAGGACACGGCGGCGGCGAGACATCAGACTGAATTTTATCAAAACAAAAGTTTGTAGTTTGTCGTCTTGAAACTCGTCAGTCGATTTAGTCACGTGAAATGTCAAATAACTCCCATGATGCCTTTCTCATGTTCAGCACTCCGGGAAAATAAACGTAAACGCCAAATATTGTTTTTAATCAGAAATAAACTGAAGGTTAGTGACAATTTAATCAGTAAAAATTCACTTTAACGACATTTAGCTGCATTTTTCCCGTTAATGAAGAAGCTGAATCTGTGACACGAACTGTTTGCATTTTAAAATGTCGCAGCACATTAACACGTTTCCCGCCACAAGATGAGTCACTTTAACTCGGAGCCGGAAGCTAAATGAAATGTGACTCGAGTCTCTTCTTCTCTGTAGTTTCTTTTATAAAAAGCGACGCAGCGTTTAACACTTGCAGCTGAAATACAGACCGGACGTTTTGTAAACAGAACTGACAGCAGAGGATCATGGGAATCTGAGTCTTTCAAAGTGCAGCTCTAAACCTTCACGTACATTAATCAGTAACGTCTGATTTAAGTTTAAAAATTCACCATTAAAAACATTCACTCTTCTCTTTAGCTCTGAGAGACTCGATACTGAACCCAACTCTAAAAACAATCGTGTATCAGCTCGTGTTTTTCTTCTACTTTTATTTTGGCGGGATGAAATCTCAGACTTGTGTTTGTTTAAATCAGAATTTCCTATGACTTCCTGTTTTATGATTTCCTGTGATTATTAGGACTGTGAATGTTTAAATGCTTATATCATGATAAATTTTCATTAGGTCTGGTTCAGAAGACTAACAGCTCTACATCATCTCAGGTGTTTCAGTGAAGGTGTGGGCGGAGCTAAACTGTCAGCAGCTTCACTTTAAACTGAACGCAACGACTCCACGACCAGAGATGAAACATTATCAACAGAGTAATTGAACTCATCATTTAACGCCCCGTGCAGCAGAGGAGGGACCTCTTCTCAGGACGGACAGGAAACAGGTGTGGTGTACATTTACAGTGTGAACCGTCAGGACACCAAAGAAGACGGAGCTGGAATGTCTGACGGGTATAAGGCTGCGTCCACACCGCTACGTTTTCATTTTAAAATGATCTCCGTCCAGACTACCACACCTGAAAACACATGACCATCCACCTACACTGAACATGTGTGAGCCGGTGTAAACAGGAAGTAGATTGTCTCCAGCAAAGACAGCTGTAGCATTAAAACAGGGAATGTAAGTGAACAACAGCAAAGACAACAAGGTCAGTGACACTGTGATTCATCATCATGTTGTATTCACCACTGGTAGTCCAGGCTGATGAGAGCCAATCAGGAGAGACCGTGGGTGTGACCTCATCGTTTACAAGGGTCTCACTTTCTGTCCAGACTACAACACAACCGCAGAGTTTTCAAAATAAAACACAACCCCAGAGTTTTCAAAATAAAACACAACCCCAGGGTTTTCAAAATAAAACTGGTCCAGCAGAGTTTCCAAAACTCCAGAGTCG